CCCGACACACTCGATGCGTCATCGCGTCCACGATTCCCTGGTTGCGCGAGACCCTCGGACCATAACGGACTTCTTACATTCTCATTACGTTCCAGTCAATGCAATCGTCCAAATTTGGACGATTGGAAATTGGGAGGTACACGGTTCAGAATTTCATTTTTCCTTCAGAAGAAAACTCAGACCGAAACGCAAAAGGTGCTTTTCTAGAGACTATTGGATTATTATGGGGTAGAATGGAATAGACACATCTAAATAGGAAACAAATTGCGAACTGACTTTAGCAATAGCGGAACCGTTGCCCATCTTGTGGAAGCTATTTCGGGGCTCTTCTAGTATATATAGACGATCGCGACTGACCGACTGACTGACTGACGCTAATTCTAACCATGTTCCAGAAAGGTTAGAAATCTGAAACTTGGTACACATGTACCTTTTGGGGTGCAGAGTTCAGAAAAACTCCGACTTTGGAGGTACATGCCCTGGGGGTNTTTTGGGGTGCAGAGTTCAGAAAAACTCCGACTTTGGAGGTACATGCCCTGGGGGTACACATTTTGGGGGGAGAATTTTTTTTTAAATATATATCGTGATGGATAAGGATGTCATCGAAAGAAGCCGTTGTATGTCACCGTTTCGGTGGTGTAGTGGTAGCACATCGGACCTGTAATGCGTGAGGCCAGGGTTCAATTCCTAACCATTCCATGCCTATTTTTTTATTTCTCTTGCCTTCCGTGCCCCATTGCTTCAATAAAACGGAGAGACATGGAAAGCTGACACTTGCCATGGACGTACCTACCGAGATGATGAGTTCAGGAAAAATGAAATATTTTAGATTCTTGCCTTCGTGGCATATGTTTGTGAGCCGACGTTTTCAAGTATTTTTTTGTCCCGGCGTATTGAAATAGTGTGAAAAGATGAAACTTGGTACATAACTACCTGATAAAAATCAAGACTTTCGTGCCCATCTGTCACGTATTTCAATGGGGACGTACTTTACATACGTGCTTGCCATTTCGCAAAGAATAAATGAATTAATCACTATTCAAGGCAATAGAGCGCCGAAGGCGCGACCATAGCGAGTTTTTTTGCCTGAAGGGGAAACAAACTCGCTAGTACCCAATAATCTTCATGCGTTCGGCTGGAATTACGTGCATTAATTAACTAACAGACCGGGTGTGAGACCCTGGCTGATGCACAACATAGCCAAAAGTTCTCCATTATTATATCCAAGTGCGCTGACTCCCGAAAAGGCTCTTACCGTAGCTTCCAAAACCGTCCTTCGTCTGTCGAATTGTCCTTCGAAAAAATGTCTCCGACTATGAGAAGCTTAAAACTGGAAATAGAACCCATGACCTTCTGATGGGGATAGAGAATGGAGACACGATGAAACGACAAATCGAGATTCCTCCTGCTTTGGTTGCAGAGTTCAGCGATGGCTGAGCTCGAGCGGACTCCAAGTAAGAGGCAGAGGCTCCGTGGCTCTTCGGACTCATTTGCTTTCATGGAGGACAACTCCCACGGACCCCGAGGAACGCAATCCCAATCCCAAGAAGCAATGGGATCGCCCGTCAGGAACCCAATGGGACCATGGGTGCAATCCCTGGGATTCCCTGGGATTCCTTTCGCAACGCCCATAATTCAACCGCGAACAACATCGAAGATGTACTTACGGTTCCAACTGTTAAACCGCGATATCTTGACAGACTACATCATCTCCTGATCCCGTTGCAGAGCGAAGGGTCACAGCCACAACAGCCAGCTCCCGCCAGTCCCGTCCCAGCCGTGCCGCAGGAACGGCCTGTCGACGCGTCGCTTCCTCCAGACGCGGCCGGTCTCACGGTGGATCAAAGTAAAATGGCCATGAGTTTTGGATGCGCCTGCGCTATTCCCCACAGGTTTATAATGAACCGTCTGCAATTAATGATTTGTGTTTTCTTGTGATGTTTCGCAGTTTATGAGGATATATTGGAGCTGGAAAGAAGCCTTCGCAATGAACCCATGGACACTCCTGGAGACCCTTCCTCGCTTCCTCGAGACCCGTCCGGCCTGACGATACATCAAAGTAATAAGGGTTTTGGATCCTCTGGGCAACAAGTCGTTCTGAATGGTATGACAAGCAGAACAAGCAAGTGCGTGTTTACTGGAACTGGAAATTCCCACCATGGAAATAATGCAAATGAAAATGCCCCAATCAGCACCCAAATCACGACTACCATCTATCACCCGGCACCTCAGCCGGCAGCCCAGCGGGGAAAAACAAATACTCTGCCCGTTCCACCTTCAGCACGACCGGTGGGTTTAATTTGCTGATTTTTTTGTCACAATTATCTTTTTATGATGGTTATAATCGATCACTTCTTTACAGATGAGTCCTTTCCTGCTGCAGGACGTTGATAACGGTCAAGCATCCCAGATTCGCAAAGCAGAAATCAACTACCCCAACTTCCCGAATATTGGAGTTTCCCAACAATGCCCTGCTCCCATGGGAAGAATCCCGTCCCTACCCTCCCGACGCCCGTGGCCCACGGCCGGGAACCCGACGCTGTCGGGACGACAGAGTGCATCTGACTTTCAACAGCAACTGCAGTTCCTTCAACGCCAGCAAGTACCTGCCAATCGATCTCAGGAGCAACGACAAACTCCATTTGGACAGCAAAATGCGAAGTATGAGGAAGCTCAATTCACTGCAGAGATCCAGCTGCCTGAGCAGCCTCTGAAAGGACATCAACAACAACTACCTGGTATTGTTCTAGAGAGGCGAAAGTTCATTCAACTTCAGTTGCAACTTCTTCTTCATGCCCATAAGTGTCAAAGACGACAGAATCAGGCCAAGGGGGAGGTATATCAGGTGAGTGTGCAAATGGAGCTTGCATTTTGTATTGTTTACAAGGCACCATTTTTTATTCTCACCATGCTGTAAGAGTGGGTAATTTTTTTTAAAGATTTTTTCTTTTCAACAGCATAATTACAAACGCGACTCCTGAACCGTGTTCTCTTTCTCTATCCTAAATTACCAAATGTTGACAGGTCTCCTCTGATTATCTCCGAAATGCATGTTCCTGGAGATTACATACAATCGAATTCGATCCATTCACAGTGTATGCTGCCACATTGCTGGACGATGAAGGCGGTGTTGAACCACATGGTCACCTGTCGAGCAGGGATGTCTTGCCCCGTTCCACTTTGTGCCTCTTCGCGACAGATCATCTCTCATTGGAAAAGCTGCTGCTGCGCCAAGTGTCCAATCTGTCCTCCCCTGAGAACGTACGACGAGCGGAATCAGCTCAATACGATCGCCTCGATGGAGGCGCAACCCACAAATCAAGACCCCACTCATGCAGGTAAGAGGAAGGCATTTGACTCGTCTGGCATGCCACAGAGAGCCTGTAACCTCCAAAAGGAATTTCCCACAGCCTCACCGTCAGAATGGATGAAACCTCGGATTTCCGAAGGAATGGCCTTTACTCCTGAAAAGAAGCTTCCACAATCTTCATCGTTGCAGCTTAGTCTCCGTTTGTGACTAAGGAGCATCCGTATGCTTCCCATGTCATAACAGTTGCTTCTCTACTCCGCGAGTACCAGTGAAAATGAATGCCATTACGTGATTCCATTATTACAATCGACAAAATTCATATGACCTTGGTAACAAGCCAGCGACAGCAAAAAATCAACGAGGTTCACGGCATTGCTTCTATTCACGGACAGCGAGAACAAATGGGTCCTATTCCTGCGGATGTTTGGCAATTTTCCGGCATGCTCGTTCAGGACACGAAGGAATGGCAGAAGGGTGTCTCGCCCGAACTCAGGGAACATTTCTGCAAAAAATTGTGAGTGGAGTTTAATGCCCAAGGTTAAATAGAGAAAAGCTTGAAGAGTAGAAGAATAGTAATGTGCAAAAATTCAAAGCAAAAATGAATCTAATGTTTTTCTTATCATCTTTGATCAGGTACCAAAGGTTCTGCGACTTCGGTGCTGCCAGGCAGGAAATTTGCAATTAGTCACGCATCGCACTATATCGTAAGCGTTGGTCAGACAGGCGTTTCTTAACGTTAATTAACGTTTAAAATTCATAATGGAGCTATTACATTAATAAATTCTACAGCTTTGGCAAGTCATTTCCGAGTGCAAAGGGTGAATCACAACGCCGAGTGCCTTAACTCTATTGAGTAATTAGACTCCGAGCACCCTGGACAGGATGCAGTAAAACCTTTTAAAGGCTGGACATGCCACAGATACACATGAAAACTGCCTTATTATGGTTAAGGGGTGCTTCGCTGAACTGCACAATGAATCTGAGTTCTAAAGGCAAAGACTCCCCTGAATGAGTCAATAAGAAACTTTAAAGTCAGTTCTCCAGATGCCCATTCCCCGTTAAAAAAAAAAGTCCACCCCCTAACTACCTGGTCAAACAAACAGGTGGATAGGAAGTGGATTTGGAATCAGGTTGAAATCCACCTATCCATTCGGGCTCATGTATTTCGAGCCAGGTGAATTTTCCCTCCCAGTGGATTTTTTCCCGGGTGGATGTCGCTCCAACAGGTGGAAATACCGCCTAGGGGACATCCACTTGGTTACAAATCCACATGATAGGTGAACGTTATGTAAGGACCCTTGACTTGCACGAGCGGTGCTTGAAGTATACCATGCCCATATCTCCTAGACCAGGTCGACATAGTGCGGAACCGTTGCCCCCCTTGCGATTGTTAGTCTGTGAAATGAAAATGTTCAACCTTTTCCACTCAAGTTTCGGACAATCGCGTGAAACGGCCATGAGATTCTATGGGCGGTTCACCTGCCATTGGCTCAAGTTATTTTATGTGCCAATCTCCAAATTCCAGGGCTGCAGCGTTATTTCACGCCAGTGCTGCTGCATTTGACGCACATCTGCAGGATATCTTCGCATATGCCCAGAAGGTTGAGTCGGACTCCTTTCAGAAGGCCAAATCTTTAGTGAGTGTTTTCTTTGCAGTTTGCGATATGTTTATGGATGGAATTGCTGTTCGAGTGGTAAAAACAAATATTACACCAACGGAAGTTTGATATGGAATGCTATATGTTGCACAGAAGTACTCAGAAAGGAACTCCGTTAGTAAAAACCGGATGTTACCGAAAAATGTGAAAATGGGCAGATGTTCTTTTCATGATGAAAATATAATTAATATTCAGAAAATGTATCGAATTTCCCTTTAAAAATTATGAGCAATAATATTGGAAACAACAAAGCTATAGCAAAAAAAGTTAAGCACGCCTCCGATCTCATGATACCTTTATGTAACCAACTTTCGCATACATTTAATAAGTCATCACATGCACGTAGAATGCAACTGAAGTATCTAAGAGCCAGCGAAAAGTGGATGCGTAACGAGTGTTAAAGAAGCCGATGGGACCTCCCATTGCTTGGTCAGAATGGATAATACAATCCTGTAATTATTATATCAATAAATTATTAATAGTATTTTCAAAAATATGATTTGTCAGTTTCATCTCAATTCTGACTAAGCGGATGAACATGCAATTTTGTTAATTGATGAAATTTGCCTTAATTCCGAGGAGAGTTATAGTAATTAAAGAACATTAAAATATCAACTAGTGATTAGATCAACTTACCTGTCTGGTAAACGGGTAAAAGTTTCTTCATATTCAATCCTCAATTCCAAACATGGGAAAGCTTTCTGTTTCTAAATAAAAAAAGGGGGATGAAAATCACAGAAACCGCGTCCACTCGGAACTCTCACAGCTGCACATCAAAGAGATCGCCCTCTAGGGAGAAAACTTTTAATAATTTCCCGAATTATCGCAGGCATGAAAGAGTCTGTTGATTGAAGTATAATGTGTCATAGCCGTCCGTGATAACTTTCCGAATTATTATTGATGTGAGGTTCCTCATCGAGGGCACCATTTCTCATGTTCGGGAAGGAATCGACATTTCTCCCTCCATGTACTGCTGGATAGGTAAACGTCAATTCAAATTCTAGACAAATGCCGCCTGTCAAGAACTGATACTTCCACGAAATCAACCGACCGAGCGTGTGCGCGAGTCTCAAGGAAAGTTGTGAATGGAGCATGACACAGGTGGAAGAGATGGAATTCTGCGCTGCAGGCATTTCCATTCATTACTCCCTGAGGTGCTACTGTGCATTCCAGTTTTTTTTTTTCAAAATGCTTAAGCCCTTTTCCATACCTCAGTCGATATTTCACAAAATTACTTCAAAAACCTCAAACTTGCACGCACGTCTTCCATATATCTGCTTCCGCCATCCATACCTCCGTCCCTCGATCATAGCCAAAGCACACTCTTCACTTCTCAAACGTATATTGAACAAAATGTCTTCGGACACTTAACAAGCGACCGTTGTTCTATCTACGGGGTATGGCTACAGAAACCATGACTTCCATTGCATAAATTTTTGCCTTGTTGACGCTGTTTTTCAGGAAATGTTCTATGTTCCAATTTCATTCCAATTTGAAGAATCAATAATTTGGAGTAGCTAGATGTCGGAAATTGTTATATGTTTTATTAATGTAATGATAATGTAATGAAAACCACGCCTTCTCGCTCCCGTTATATTCCGTCTTGACCGCAATGAAGGTCTTTCATATGAGCTGGCTTTTTTCGTAGTTCATAGCATTCCTTTTGGCGGAAATAACTTTGGTGATATTCGGACTATCCGTTCGGAGTATGGCAATATATGGCTAATGTAAGTTTCAGAAAATATATGCATTGAGAAGTTATGCATAGGTTAATGTACGTGGACTTTCCTGCTGTGCTCTACATGTCTCGTGACAAGCACGTTTCCAATCCCATCACTCCGCTTCTTGCAATAAATATCAATGCGAAGTATTATGTACGGATCTGCACGAAGATACATGCACGTACGAAATTCCTGCTTCAGTCTGCTCCATCCGACTTTGTTTTTCTCCTGGTTGGGTAGTGCAATGTAATGAAATGTGCAATGAATTTATTTTGTAATTATCTCGATTTCCTCGTTAATTCACAAGCTGGCAACTTGGAGTTTTCATGGAAAGGAACATGCAACGGCCGCCTGATCTTAACAACGAAGGGCAGGGACTAATATAGAAGATGAACTTTGCAGCGAAATTAATAGCGAAGAAAGCTTTGACACTGGCATTGTTCTCGATCCATTAACACAATTTGTGGCGAATAAGTGAGGCTATGGATCGAACACTATAAGAGGAAAAACGAATGGGCCTTAAAGAAAAAATGAGCTTTCTGCTCTTGGAGCCTTTGGGGCTAAAGCAATAATGGCCTCATTCAGGTCCCAAGAATGGAAGAATACAATGTTCATGTCTGTTCTCATTTGTTCACTCGGTCTTCAGGAAATTCCACTTCGCTCCAACGCTTCATTTCTTCCTTCTTTTAAATATCATACTCAAGTTTCACATTAAAATTAAGAGAGATTACTGGAAAAGTGAATAACTTTTGTCCATCTGGTAGCAAAGGCCCTGATATTCCTCTTTTCTCTTTCCTCTGTTCACTCTAGCCGGAATATCATTACTTGCTAGCAGATGAAATATTCATGATTCAGAGAAAGTTCAACAAGCTGCATCGCATCTCCCAGAACATCCCAATCAAATTCTCTAAAGGTAAGACGAAATAGCATTCATACATGAATGTCACTAAATGAAATGTATGCATACAGGCATTTCAACTAGTCAGAAAATTCTGGATACGAATGAAAATTGAAAAGCAACTAAAAATGCCTGCTTTTCAAACCTAATCGTAAGGATTCAAAGATGCAACCAATGCGAAGATAAATTTTTGATGGAAATCTTTGATTTTCTGTATTATATCAACGTCTATGTAACCTCCATTGGCAATTATCTACTCTTAATACACTTAATTCTCTACTTGCAATATTGCTTAAATCGTGGCAGCGCCATTTCACCTGGAAAGTGCAAATTGGTTGCTTGAGAAAGTTCTTCTTATTCATGGGTGACTTCTAAATGGCAATACCTGTCCCAGAACCAGTATGCGCTTCAGCGGCGAAACGAGTGGCTCCAGCTGCCCCCCTAGTGCTAGAATCCGGAGCATCAGCCTCTCCCGGGACTGGATCCGGAGAAAAGTCCACCTATAGGACGCCAACTGAGGATGATACCGTCTCAGCACTAATGCCAGGAGGACAATACATCCTTGAAGCAAGAGTTGGACGAGCTGGTGAAGCGCTGAGGAGGGGTGTGCATTGTTTATATTCTTCTTCTTCAATATATTTCTATACGTTCCATAGATTCATTTTGAGCTTTACCTCAAATTAAATATCTCTTACACTTGATTCCAACAGCAGCATTTGAGTCTGCAATGAAATCTCATGGGAGAATGGTCTGGAACCTTCGTCTTCCTCATTAAGATTCTCGAACAGGGAAATAGAACAAACTTTTTAATAATAAAAAACATAAATTGGAGCTACCAACGTTTTGCAATTTTTTTGCTCAAGAAACACGAAGTAATGAAACGGCATTGATAAAACCTGTCGTCGTTATGGGTTACGAAAGAATCAGTGTTTCTGAGGCTACTGAACTTTTTTATTAAACATATAGGTCATATCTTGGAGAATAAGATCAAGGTTATTTCTGAAATGGTTACTGGTTTTCAAGAAAGTAAAAAAGGAGGCTTCAGCACAACGCAATCTGAAAAATATTTTTCAAAATTGAAATAGAGTTGGGTGTCCCCATCGCTTCATTTGTCATGGAATCACATATGTTGGCATACTGACAATATTTCTGATAGAAACATCTTGATTCTCTCCTCTAGATATCCCACCTCACTTCCAATGTGTGGTCTGTATGAACGCAGATGTGACAGTTGTTTTCCTCCCGTGCTGCCACTCGGTAACCTGTGACACTTGCGACAAGAAGCTGAAGAGTATGTCCAGTACCTGCCCATCGTGCCGGGTGCCTATAGGAAAGAGGATTCCTGTATTTCATCCTTGATTGCTTTCCTTCTATCAAATAATGCTTTCCCATTTTTAGCGAGCCTATATTCACGATCCATAAAGTTGTTCTTAGGTTCAAAATAGTAGAATGCGGCAGTAGTCCACGACTTCATAATCCTCTAATGAAATATTCACCATATTTCCGACTCTCTCTTCGACTCTCACCATTTAAGTTGCACCTCTGCTCTATTTTTAGCATGGTGTTCAATATTTACTCCCTCCTCGGAATCAAGTGGCATTAATCAAGAAAACCTTTCTATTGCTTTAAATGTCATATTTTCAATTTTATTTTCATATTTCTTGTTTTCAATTTCTCTTTTTTCTCGGTTTTTCATGCAATTCCACAGCTTTCCTGCACTTTTGAAACCATAACTTGAGAATCTACGCAGAGGGCAGAGTAGTAAAAATATTTCTTGGAAAGAGTGTTGTGAACAAAAGGATATTATATTGAATGAACGTCTCTGATACCGAAATAACATTTCTTTGGTAACCCTTTGATTGTTCTTTATTACCCTTGTTGGGAAAACCCATGGAAAAATCAAGGACTACGCTTTCCTGGCATGCCTATTTTACACATCATGTGACTTCATGGAATCACACAACGTTATAGAATTTCTTCATGTGCCCTGATGGAAACAAATGATAAAAAGAGTATACAGTATATTCCTTAAAACCCCTACTGTACCACAAATAATATGAAGGGTAGGTTTCTGGAAAATTTGAAACGGAAAAATTGGAGATGAATGTTACAAGGTACCTGGAGCTAGAGAAATCATATGATAGGAAATCCTACTAGCATAGGCGAGGCTTGAATAAGAAAGAAATACATCGGTACGAGTTAACTGTTTTCAGTTCACAGAAGTCAAAATATCCATTAGTGCAAGTAGACATAGAGCACGGGCGAGACATATGTCTCCTATTCTCTTAATGTCTTGATATTGTGACGACTATCTCGCCTGGCGTGGCCGATAGTACTAAGCAAGATAATGGACTTGAGAAGCTACCGGCAAACTGCCTTAACGTCACAACAGAATGGGATCTATTCCCTTGGGAAGTTTCGTAATGGTCGATACGGAACCAATTTACCAGGGGCAAGGATTCCTATGCAACCAGGTCTCACACAGATTCCATTCATTTCCACCTACACTTCTACAGATTTCACGCATACAAGAATTCTCACAGAATTCAGGTAATAAGGAAATTAGACACAAAAGTATCTCAGCACAACCTCACGAGTCCAACCCTTCCTTTCAAAGTATTAGGACAAATTCTAAAAAAAAGGAACAAATGTCTCCTCACCCTCGATGCAGCACCAAGCTCAGTTACCTCGTGATTGGGGCAATCACGGCTAATCAACGAAATCGGAAGGGGTTGCTTGGGCTTCAACCGTCCGCAAGCCTTCTTCCAATGTTCGTCCTTGCTAGTTCCCCTAGTGTCTCTCTAGTGTCCCTCCCAGCTACAACCGGCAAGGAACAGAATCTGGATCACACCAGATCCACCTAAGCCCGGCTCCAACTAGCACTTAGGCCCTCGGCTCCAACCGAGTAAAACTAGCAAGGTCTCACTTTAAGAAATGGGACCCTAGTCCGACACCTGATGGCAGTGGCGAAGTCTGCCTCTCCTTCTCCTCTTCTAGGGATTTTGAACTGAGTTTAAATAGGGTTCCCTCCTTCGGCTTTCAACATAGTCATTTCAGCATGCTGAACACTCCATGGCTGGATGGATGATCACCAATCATCTTCAGATGCTGAGCGGCTTGATGACTGGATGGATGATTGAGAAAATACCGACAGCCCCGTAGGAAAATAGAGGAAGGTCGAACCTTCCATTCCGCTAGACACATGTCTCTGGAGTCCCATAGATCAGAATTGTAACGGGCCGCCGCTCTTCCAGTCATGTCGTCCAGGGGAAGGGAAAAGGAGGCATGCTGATTGAGGAGCCGGATGGAAGTCAGTGGGATAAGCCGAGGAGACGAGGGGAAAACGTATGAGGGGACATTATCTCAGGGATGCCGGATCTGGATCACCATGCCCGCTCTTCCAGAGGTGACCTCCAGTCAGGATCCGGATGACAATATCTTCGGACATCCCTGTCCAGAAAACCCCTGTCGCAACCAAGGGTTTATGAGACAACCTCATTTCCAAAACCTTTGGTTGGACAGGTACATGTTCGGAGATACGGACCCAGAAATTAATGAAGATGATTTTGTCCTCAAATGCGTTTCCCAATAAGAACTGTTCCTGGAAATTGGACAACCAATGGGCGCGAGCTACCACTTTGGACCTTGAAGAAAATGGAAGAAACTTCGTCCGAGAAGTCCAGTCCCGAGAGAAGCGAAGGGACTCGGCCCTGCCCTTGATAGTGGAGTTTTCACACTCAGCCCGACCAGAGTGTTAGCGCCCCAGTTCGACCCTAAAGAATAGGTCTCCCGATAGATTTGAAAATTTTCTCTCTCTCTCTTTCTCTCTCTCTCCTTCTCTCTCTCTCTTTCTCTCTCTCTCTTTCTCTCTCTCTCTTTCTCTCTCTCTCTTTCTCTCTCTCTCTTTCTCTCTCTCTCTTTCTCTCTCTCTCTTTCTCTCTCTCTCTCTCTTTCTCTCTCTTACTCTTGTTCTCGCATCTCTCTCTCTCTCTTTCTCTCTCTCTCTTTCTCTCTCTCTCTTTCTCTCTCTCTCTTTCTCTCTCTCTCTTTCTCTCTCTCTCTTTCTCTCTCTCTCTCCCTCTCTTACGCGCGCTTGCTCAGGAACCGGGTAGCTCCTTATTTGCTGTTTGTGGATCTCGGTACCTAACAAAAATTTTGGTTCTTTCATTTTTTTAAGTACACTTGTTGGACAACCTGGTAACACTTAAAAAACTTCTGTAATAAATTTAGGTATTAAACTCGGTTGTAGGATATTTCTTTCTCGGCCATGAACAGGCACTAACCTTTC